TATTTATAGTTAGTAATAAACCCGTACAAAGTGTCGATTTAGAATTGAAAAAACATGAATTTAGCCTTTTTATTTTACTTTGCAGATGCATATTATGCACATCTATGTACAAAAGTATGATTCAAAATTCGATGCAAGAATACAAAATTTGCAAAACTATGAACATATTTGAGAGATAGGAGATCGTAGATACAAGTAAATTTATTAAAATGTTAAAAAAATTATGTTACGTTTACACTAATTTTAACCCTAATGCGTGTGTACGAGGTAATGGATTGATCAGAAGTGTATTACTTTATTCGTTTTAAATGTGTAGAAATTATCATATACATTATTTTAAATAAAAGGAGAAATATATATATATATATCATTGTGGTTAGCTAAAAATAAAACTTTATAAAAAAAAAAGAATTATTAGTCGTGAAATATAACTACGCTATCAATAGGCAAGTTAATAGCATCTTAATTGGGTGCACAGAAGAATTTATTTGTTCATAGCAAAAAGTTACGAGTCTCAATTTTACGGTGAAAAATAATAAATATGTATGGAGGAGCTGATAATTATCAACCAAATCACCGACAGTGTTGATGGCGCCGCTTATGCCGGCCCCTTGATTTGTTGTGAAAGGAATTCAACGTATTAATACCAGCGGTCCAGCTGTGGTGCACTTGCCAGTTGCCACAAAAGGTACTTCTCTAGCCACGTCACACGCTAGTACACTTTCGAGATGTAATTTCGGGGTATTCTCCAGCAAATTTTCTTTTCTCTCGCCAGACTCATCTCTAATTAACTCCTACTCAACAGTTGCATAATTTATTATTTACTACTTCGATAAATAAACATCAGAAAAGGTCATTCAATTCATTAATTCTATCATCGTCAGATTGTGACACACATGCATCTGTAAATTAGACTTGTGAAGGCGCATCCTTTGACGTACGATATTCAGTGCATCAAATGCAAGGTCGCAGCCTTCAAAAAAAACATTATAAAGAAAAGGGAATCCGTGCCCTATGCTATTGGTCTACCAGACTGTAGTTCAGATGCAAAGTATATACATTTTTTTGAAAAAAAAATATAAAGGTTGTCAAAAGGGAAAAAAAAGTGTGACTCAGATTGCATCATGTATTTTATTTATAATGTCATACGTGAAATTCAAAAAAATTTATTTATATCTTGCTGCGTATTGAAAGTGAATTGCAATTTTTACAAATCAACTTACATTCTATTGAATTGAATAAAATTATTCAATAAAACGATTCAACAATGAAGGTCATTTGAGCCCCGGATTACGTGTGGCGTGGATATCTTGCCAACAAAAATGAATCCCCAAGTTCAAGTGTGTATGCCAGCTCCGTGACGACTTAAACTGCATGCTTTTAAGGCACCACTCGCCGGAGTCGCCGGTTGGGCCGTGAATCAGAATCGAAATCGATAATTTAAAATTTTAAAATTAAAATTTTGGTATCATAATTTTTGATTGAATTTGATTTCGAATTCGAATTCATTGTGAATTCAATTTGAAATTCGTTAATTCTGATTTCACCGAATTCAGGAGTATAAAAATTATTATTATTAATAAATGTTATATTACATATATATAAATATTATACATATATGAAAATGAATTTAAAACCGAAATAGAAATTCCGAATCACTACATTCAAGAATATAAAAATTATTACTCTAATATAAATATTATATTACATATGTGTGTAAAATGGATTTGAAATCGAAATAAGAATTCTGATTTTGATTTTGATTTCAATTTCGAATTATGAATTAGAAATCAGAATTTTTAATTTAAAAAATTTTATTACTGAATTCGATCCGATTTCATCTAATTTGAAATCGGATATTTTAATTTTCATTTCGAATTATCGAACTCAAATTTTTGAATTCTATTTAAATTCGATCAATAAATCAAAATTTTTTAATTTTACACACTCCTAATCGTAGGTAATTAAAGTTTCCATAATAAAAAAAGGGAAAATTGCAGAAATCTCCCATGAGGTTTTTGACATTTGTACTGACCTCCCCTATGGTTTGAAAAATTACATTGACCTCTCCTGAGATTACTAATCCTTTACAAATTCAGTCCAAACGATTAAAATATTATTTTAGAGTGTGAAATTAGAATTTTGTACCAAATTTATCCATTGTACTACATGCTCAATAAATGACAAAATACTACAAATCAATTAACAATTAATAAACTTTAAAAAGTATAGTTTATAGGGCTAATTGATTGAAATATAGATACTTGCCAAAAAGTTTCGCCGAATGCGGTCCATCAGCTCCGTGGTATCATTTTATGCTCGTCGCTCCTACATGGCGCGACGGGCAGTAAATTTTTTTTTTTAAAGTTGTTCTGGCCGTCGCGCCATGTTGGAGCGACGGTCAGAGCTGTCAGAAATTTCTGACCGTCGCTCCTATATGGCGCGACGGTTAGGAATTTATTTTTTTTTTAAAATCTTCTGACTGTCGCTCCAACATGGCGCAACGGTCAGAAATGTTTTTTTTTTTAAATCATCATGCTTATTTTAAAAAAATAAATTTTTAATAGATAATACTTACAAAACAAAACAAATAAATACTAGTCGTTTTACAGCTATTTTAATAGATTAAATTATTAAAACTAATTATCGTATATCAAATAATGACACTCAAATAATTCTTCATTTCTACAAATATGTTATTAATCTTTTTATACGATTACATTTTATATGAAAATTCAAATATATAAATCGTAATTCATATTATAATTTTTCATTTTTTTGACACAATTACGGTTCCTTTAACATTCTGTGTGCATGATACATAATAAAGTTAAAATTAACAAATCATAATAATATTAAGCAATACTTTCATCCATTACGCAATTACTTCAATTTAAATCATATTATTAAATTATTTTTTAATTTTAACAAATCATAACAGTTACGCATGTTATATAACTTAAACTTGATAAAATGGTAAACATTAATTCTTTAAGAATTCCCTAAATCCTTTAACAAATGGATCAAAATTTTTAAATCTAATCTCCTTTAAAACGCTAAAATTCTTGCGAGCCCAATGTTTGTTTTTAAAATGTTGTCAAACTGAATGCATTGTTTTTAAAACTTTTCATTTTAAATAATTTTTAAAGAAAAATTTTTGCCAAATTTCCAATTGAATTGGACAAAGATTTAAAAAAAAACATTTCTAAATCGCCGGGCTGAAGGATTTTTTATTAAAACAAATTCTAAATTATTTGTAACCGTAAACCCTAACCCTAACCGTAAATGTAACCCTATGAAAAATTTTTCTTTTTTACTGAGGAGGAGAATTTAAAAAAAAAATTTTTTTGACCGTCGCGCCATGTTGGACCGACGATCAGAAGATTTTTTTTAAAAAAATAAATTCCTGACCGTCGCGCCATATAGGAGCGACGGTCAGAAATTTCTGACAGCTCTGACCGTCGCTCCAACATGGCGCGACGGCCTGAAAAACTTTTTAAAAAAAAAATTTGCTGCCCGTCGCGCCATGTAGAAGCAACGGGCATAGAATGATACCACGGAGCTGATGGACCACATTTGACGGAACTTTTTGGCAAGTATCTATATTTCAATCAATTAGCCAGTTTATAGGCAAGTAAGCATTACCTATTTAAAGTACCGGTTCTTTACGGGTATTTTACTTTCAAACATTTAATTTAATACAACTATTTACGCTCAAATACAGATTTGTATTTACTTTCAAATAATTTTTGTTAAATACAAAAACTACCAATCTCTCTTCCGTAAAAATATTAATATAACACTTTTTCAATTTTAGTTATAACCATTTATGTATTTAACATAAATTAAATGATTCAGAATAAAATACCTATAAAGAGCCAATACTTTACTCATGTAATGGATGAAAGCCATAAAGAATTAATACTTTATGAATCATTTCTTTTTAAAAAAATATTTAATTGATATTAAATAAGTAGCCTACCGATTTTCTTTTTGTAAGAATATTACTGTAACACTTTTTAAATTTTACTTACAAACATTGATATATTATCAAAAATTAAATATTTGAAAATAAAATATCCATAAAGAGTTGGCACTTTAAATTAATAATGCGTGTTTGCCCATAAAGAGCCTGTAACTATTTAAAGTACCGGCTCTTTACGGGTATTTTACTTTCAAACATTTAATTTAATACAAATATTTACGCTCAAATACATATTTGTATTTACTTTCAAATATTTAATTTTTATTAAACACAAAACCTACCTATTTCTCTTCCATAAAAATATTAATATAACACTTTTTCAATTTTAGTTACAAACATTTATGTATTTAATATAAATTAAATGATTCAGAATAAAATGCACATAAAGAACGAATACTTTACTTATGTAATGGATGAAAGTCATAAAGAATTAATACTTTATGAGCCATTTCTTTTTTATAAAAATATATTTAATTTATATTAAATAAATAATTTACCGATTTTCTTTTTGCAAGAATATTACTATAACACTTTTGGAATTTTTACTTACAAATATTGATATATTTATCATAAATTAAATATTTGAAAGTAAAATACTCGTAAAGAGCCGGTACTTTAAATAAGTAATGCGTATTTGCCCATAAATTATGCTCCTAAAGTTTATTAATTGTTAATTGATTTATAATATTTTGTCATTCATTGGACATGTAACACAAAGGGCAAATCTGGTACAAAATTCCAATTTCACTCCCTAAAACAATATTTTAATCATTTGAACTAAATTTGCAAAGGATTAATAACCTCAGGGGAGGTTAGTATAATTTTCCAAAGTACAGGTGAGGTCAGTGTAAATGTCAGAAACCTCCCGAGGTTTCTGCAATTATCCCATAAAAAAAATACTAGCGTGGTACTGGTAGGTGGTGGTAGTGTCATACTACTGGGTAGGAGCCAGACCCCTAGACAACTCTTGCCGATTCTACCAACTGTACACTAGAGAGTAGAGGCAAGGGAAGAAATGCAGAATTTCGCCAGATTCACGACATCTAGACGGAATTTTCTCGACAAACCCAAGAACCGTCGTGCCTGGCTCTTTGCTGGTCTTCTCTTACCCATCCTCCTCCTCCTCTTCTTCACCAGTGCTCCAAAGCACTACCATTCTTTCCGCCGTCTACGACAGCGTCTCCAAGCTCCCCAAGATGGGCAGTGCAAATATGGCACCATTTACGTTTACGACCTTCCTCCGATCTTCAACGAAAAGCTGTTGGATAATTGCCACGATCTAGATCCGTGGACTTCCCTCTGCAAAACTCTCTCCAACGATGGATTTGGCCCAAAAGCCACCGGCCTCGACGGGATTGTGCCCAGAGATCTTACTCAAGCTTGGTACTGGACTCACATGTTTTCCGGGGAGGTTATGTTTCATGCGAGGATTTCCAACTACAGGTGCAGAACCTACGACCCAGATTCGGCCACGGCGTTCTACATCCCCTTTTATGCTGGATTAGCAACTGCCAAGTACCTGTACGGTAACTCTAGTGCGAGCGAGCGAGACTCTCAATGCGAGAGCCTGCTCAAGTGGGTCACCGGCCAACCCTCTTGGAAGAGGTCTAAAGGGGCTGACCATTTTATCATGCTGGGAAGGATGTCTTGGGATTTCAGAAGGAACACCGATGAGAAGTGGGGGTCCAGCTTCCTTCTCATGCCTCCCATGAGGCAGACGTTAAAGCTGTCAATCGAGCGTAATCCTTGGGATCGGTCGGAGATCAGCGTTCCTTACCCTACGGGATTTCATCCCAAGTCCAAAGCTGAGCTGGAGAGCTGGCTGAAATTTGTCCGGACCCGCAACCGGTCAAAGCTCTTCACTTACGTTGGTGGAAGACGCAAGAAGATAAAGAACGATTTCAGGGTTTTGTTGTTAGATCAGTGTCGGAAGGAGGCTGATTCGTGCAAAGCGGTGGACTGTTCTAAGACTCCCTGTGCGGAGGGAACGCCGGCGGTTCTGGAGTCGTTTTTGGACTCGAATTTCTGTTTGCAGCCTAGAGGTGATGCTTACACGAGAAGATCCACGTTTGACTGTATGTTAGCGGGTTCGATACCCGTTTTCTTTTGGAAAAGGAGCATCCACGGTCAGTTTGAATGGTTCATGAGGGATGACCCGGAGAGGTTCTCGGTGTTTATAGACGAGAACAAAGTCAGAAATGGTACTTCCATTAAGAAGATTTTGCAGGGCTATGGTATAGAAGAGATTCAGATGATGAGAGAACGGGTGACTAACTTAATACCTACAATTTTGTATGCTATGCCCGGTGATGATGGGGAGAATAGTAGAGATGCCTTCGAAACAGCTTTTGAAGGGGTGTTACGGCGACTCAAGGAGCAGAAGCAGCGCAGCCAACAATGAGCAATAAAAAATATTGGAGCATGGAAGAAGAAGGAAAAAAAAAATTCACCCCGTTTTGCAGAGGTCTAGTTGGTTCGAATTCGATGGAGAAGAAGCTGCCTGGTGGTCCTCCTCCTCGTCCATCATCACTTGTGCGTCGTCGAGACTTGAAGACGTCAAGAAAAAGGTTTGATCAATGAAATTCAGATTCCGGTGTCACAAAGCAATGAAATATGGATGGCGTCAATTCAATTCAATTCAATTCAAGGTTAACATCTCTTTTAGTGTTCTACAAGTGACACTGCAGCAAAATTTATACAAATTGTTAAACGCGATTCGTTTGTTTTCGAGATTTATTCATGAATATTTGTTTAGACAAATTGAAAGGGAATTGACGCGGGGGATTCACGGAGGTAGGAATAGGAGTCAAAATACTCTCTGTTCACTGGTCTCAAAAGGGCATTGAATGTTGTGGTGGGTTGGGTAGCAGTAGCCTTAAATGTTAGCAGTAATTAGAAGGACCACCCGCTTCCAAGTTCCATCCATGCGCGCCAGACAAAATGAAATTCCCGGGGGGTATAGAAAGGAAATTAATTAGTTAACAGTCGTTTTAAGTTGTAATCATCATCGTTGTTGACTTCTCTCTGGCTTTTACTTCTCTCTGGTTAATTAATTCTTTTGCTTCTTATTAGTGTTAAGTACTAATATGTCCTTACCAATGAAAAGGCGAAAATTCCGAGTTTGGGGAATGTTAAGTAGGCGTGTATATCGAATTAGTGAATAATGCAATTATGCAATTATGTCTCCAGGCTCCAAGTGCGTTGTTAATTGGGATTTTGGAGTAAGCCCAAAAAAAAAAAGTGAAATCCAACACAGACAGCAAATGCAGCAGGGTTGTAGAGATCCTCATTTTAGTCCAACTTCACAGACCCAAGCTATATCAGAACTAATCAGACTAATCTTGGTTTTTAATCTCACCCTTCACCATTACTTTTTTTTTGTCTTTACCTTTCTTTCCTTCCTGATAAACATCCTTCACCATTACCTAAGCAAAAGACATAAGCGAGAGAAAATTTGTTGCAATGCAAGTTTGAAGAAATGGATGAAGGCGAATGGCGCATTTTTAGATATCAAATTGAGTGTTGCTAATTTTCCTCATTAAGAAACCGTGCGAAAAATGTTGATTAAACTACATGGAAACAAAACTAGATTTGTTATACAAAAGCAATCTCATCCAGGAGGCCGTTCTACTGGTAGACGCCTGGTTTAGGCCGTCCGATGCACCAAAAGGGCCGAAACAAATTACTCTGGTTTTTGGCGGGGGCCCGACGGGGTGGTGCAGCTGAAAAAGAAAAAGAGAAGGAAAAAAATAACTTGGGATTTTCAGTGACATGTTTTCTATGCCAACCCAATGCCACCAATAGTGTTGCGCCAAGTGTTTTGTTATTATTTACACTTTAATTTTCTAATAATTCAACTTGGCTTGATTTAACACAAGTTTAAATAATAACATGACACTTGGCACAACACTATTGATGGCGTTGGGTTGGCATAGAAAACATGTCACATCCCAAGTGGAAAAAAATCACATGCTAGGCGGAAAAGGAGCCGTAAGTTTTGAAGCCTCCCAAAGTTTATTAAAATAAAGGAAAAATCGTTCAAAACGTCCATCATATTTGGTAAAATGACTTTTTTCGTCCCTCACTTTTAAAAGTGTAATTTTACATTCCTTATAAATTCATATTGATCAAATTTGATCCCTACCTAGATTTTCGACTAATTTTTTGTCGGAATTCATTACGTGTCTTGCATGTGATTATTTTTTGAAGGGTAAAATTATCAAATCAAAATTTGCAGAATCCATCTATAACCCCTTACATTTCACAAAATAAATTTTTCATCCCTCACATTTCACAAAATAAATTTTTTCATCTCTCATTGACCATGTACACAAATAATTTTTTTTTAAATTCATGTATATATCTATTTGATTTCACCTGAACAATATGAATAGTATGTAATATATCTCTATTTTATTTCACTTAAACAGATTAATTGTAGTTGTGCATATGCTATTCAATAGATATATACATGAGTTTAAATCTAATATTTTTTTAAACCCATATATTTATATTTGATTTCACCATGTAAATTTATTTAATATTTGTAACCTTTTCTATTTTGGTAATAATTCATTTATTAAGTTGCATAATAAGACTATCTAATTAATCAATGTTAATTCGAATTTTATAGTCATGCTAACAAATTACAATTTAAATCTGAAATTTTTACTCGCTACTTTTAATACTAATAGTTGAATTTCTTACCTTATGATTATCTTAAAATTTAAAAGTGTCAATCACTTACTTCATTTGGTCATACTTTTCCTTTGTTTATTTTTCTGTCCAAATTTAATTCGATATAAATGCTTAGTAATGTTTAGAATTAAATATCTTCTTTGTTTTCAATTTTTGAGTAAAAGGAACGAGCATGAGTAAAAAACTAACAATTTTTTTTAGACCCCTGTATATATCTATTTTAATTTCACTTGAACAGTACGTTCAGATGAAATGTTCAAGTGAAATTAAATAGAGAATAATATTCATATTGTTCAGGTGAAATCAAATAGATATATTAATTTTTAAAAAAAGTTATTCGTACACATGATCAATAAGGGATGAAATTTTTTTTTTTAAAATATGAGGGACGAAGTAATTCATTTTGTAAAATGTGAGGGACTATGGATCGGATTATGTAAATTTTGATTTGATAATTTTGCCCTTAAAAAATGATTACAAGCAAGGCACGTGGTGGATTTCGATTAAAAACTAGTCGAAAACTTAGATAGGAACCAAATTTAACCAATGTAAATTTGTAAGAGATGTAAAAATATACTTTTAAAAGTGAGGGATGCAAAAAGTCGTTTTGTAAAATGTGAGGGATGTTTTGAAGATTTTCCCTAAAATAAAACAAAAATTCAAAAAGTTCATATGATGCACAGTGGCCACCAAAAAAGAAAAGAAAAGAAAAAGAGTTTGAAAGCGGACGACGTCGTCGAGCTGTTACAGCTCCCAAACCCTACTGGGCATTCCTAAACCTTGTTGACGGGCTCAAAATCAGAATAGCACGAGCAACGAAAACATGGCTTGGCGCGGGTCTCTCTCAAGGTCTCTCCTCTCAAATGTAAGAGCTTCCACCGCACGCTCTTCCTCGCCGTCCCTCCCCCGTCTCCGTCCTACTTCGTCAGCTCCTCTTCACGGCCAATACGCTCTCTCTCGCCGCCTCTTCTCTTCCGACCTTCTCAGGTTCCTGCTTCATTCCCTGTTACCTTTTTTTTTTTTTTTTTTAAATAAAAAAAATCCCTGGCCTGTTAAATCTTAATCATGTACACGGTAATTTAAACTTATCTGACTCTCAGGAACGGCGGTTTTCTCGCTTGCACTCAGTCGCTACTGCCTCTGCACAGCGTGGTAGCCGCCACTCGTCTCACGTCGCACATCGCTGTCGAGGCGCGCACTTGCTGCGAGTTGTCTCAGGGTATCATTTTCTCTCGCACTTGCCCTTGTCGCTAACGTAATATGGCCAATTGCCTAGTATGTGATTTTTCATGTTCATTTCATTTCCGATTCACTTGGATTGAGAAATCTTCAGATTTATCCAAAACACAAATTGTCCACTATCAAACGCATGCAGAAAAAATTTCCATATTCTTAAAATGCTCTTCTTTCGATCTTTCTTCTGTTTGTAAGTTTTAAAGACTTCATCTTAGAAGTCTGAAAAGTCTCTATGAAGGTCAATTAGTAGTAAATTTTGACAAAGTTGCTATTCTGCATGTACCGTGTATACTTGTATTATGTGCTTTGTGAAGCGACCAGTAATAATATGACTGACGGAGCATGAGGGAATTTTCAGTGATCTGTACTAAATTATTCAACTAGTTGCTGCTGTTGCTAATTCGTATGTTTCCCTTTATCACGGCAATGGGCTTAATGTAGTTAAAATATGATTTACATTCAACCTTGAAATTGTTGAGCATTTGCTGGTTTGAACTTTTGCTTCCCTCCATCTTTAGTGCTTGGAAAACCATTACAATTGCGTTCTGCTCTATAAGACATCTATTTGTCATTTAGTATCCGAGTTTAGGATTTTCACATTATTTGCCAACATCAGATTGTATAGCTTTGTTTGACTTCTTGTGTACATGTCTAGCCAGTTTTTGTCATTTTCTTGTCATTTATTTTTAAGAAAATGAAGAACATATGGAACAAATAGGAAAAGTTCTTGATTGATTTTCGCCGTCCTGCTTAGTTGAATTCATAAACTCTGCTAAGAATGTCTGAGATCTTTATTTGTGGGTTAGTCCTGTGCCTTTGGAAGAATAAACCTACTTGTGTGAGATGTAGCTTGCTGTTGAGATGCTGAAATTTGTTTGCATTATCCATGGTATTCACCAATATCTGATGTTCTTCATATCTAGGTACTTAAGGTATTGACTTATGGACCAGCATTCTAAGTGCTGGATGTGTCATACCATGGAGCTTGCTGTAGGGTCTTTAGTTGGGGAGCAGAGCTGTATGCTTTGGGGTCTTCCTTTTTTGTTGCTTCTGGAAAGTAATTGAGATTGATTCCTTTGTCTGTCATAGAATCCCTCTTCAACCCCACTTCAAAATTTCCTGCCTATCTGACATATTTATTTTCTTAGGGAAAGTGACAAATGTACAGTTCTGCAATGTTTATTATTTACTGGAGTTTGGTATCACTGTGCCTTGATGCTTTGCCTGCAGTACAATGTTAGAAGAACTAGATTTGGATGCTTGGTAACTGGATATCTGTGTTTTAAGTGGCACTTAAACCTTTTTATGGACCAATAACTCTTTGAGATTGCAATTGTAAGCATGAACATATGTTTTCAGATAAATAATTGAAAACTAAATGGTCTGCTGATCCAGTTCTGACTCATCATTCCAATATATGTGCGGAAGCTTCTTCCTGAAAGCTCCTTCACAGTCACTTTTAGGAGAGAGAGATTGAACTCAGGACATACTTTCTTTATTGTATTCGGACTTCCTTTGAATTTCTGGAACTCGATTCTGAGAATAAATGCGAGCTTGCTCGGGGTTGTTAGGGGGTCTAACAGGTTGTTTCCATAGGCCGCAATTGCAGTTGTACCTTTAATTTACTTTTGATGGCTATTTCTGCAGATGAAGTGGTCTTTTTTTTTTTTTCTTTTTGGGGTGGGGGTTGGTGGGCGGTTGGTTGGTACAGGCCTCCAGTATTTAGATCATTTGGATCACAATTTGCTGAGAGCTTTGCAAAATATTTTCCGACTCATTTATTGGTTGGCAGGGATGCCTGTATGTTAATATTTTGTTCTGATTAGTCTTAGTATTATGTTTAATTTCACATATGTCACACGGCTGCGCATATGTGAATATAACCGCAAATACACGCCTCGAGGATGGGACCTGATATCTACGCTGTTCTCAGTGAGTATGAATTAAGAGCGTTAGAATTTTGTGATTATGATTTCCCTCTAGTTCCAGTCTTAATATTACGGAAACAGCATCATTACAATGGGAACAGCAAACAAGGGACTAACATTGTGGCAAGTTGTGAATAGAGTTGGCCTTTTGCTCGACAGATGTGTAAGTAGAACCATGGCGTTCAGGCAAATAGCATAAACTGACATGAGCTGCGCTTCATAACAAATCATGATTCGGTGGAAACACGTATCCAAAGATGAGACGAAATTAAATTATGCCTCTTGCCCCTTCTGATGCCTTCAGTATTCCTCCCTTTCTTCTGTCCGCTAAAGCGGTGATGGCGTCTGTATAACTCTCTATGAGCTTCCGTCGCTTGAGCACCCTGTAATCGAAATGCCTGCCAAATTCTTGCAATTCTGGGATGGGAAATCTGCCAGGCAACCAAGACTATGAACTGAAAACCAATGATGACAACGATGGAGGGAATGTTAAAGATGACAGCTTTTGTCGCGAGTGGTTGAGTTTAAGCCTCAATGTGGACGGGCCCATCTGTGGTACGGCCATCAATATTCCTCGTGAAAGACGACCACTGGCAGCAAGGTTCTCTCATGCATCCTTTGAGGAAGTTTTGTCGTTCACAAGCATTGGGTGGTCGCCAAAATGCTCACAAGAGACAAAAGGAAGGCATTCAAAAGGTACCAATCCCAGACGATGATGGTGCACAAGGCAAGCAGAGATGGGACGAAGATGGTGGCCAGATTTAGTGACTCCTGGCGTTGGTGCGGCATGGAAACCCATTGTGCTTGAGGATGCAATTAATTTGTTCTGGCCCTGCAGCTTCCATACGATTAAAGCTCCTACAGAGCTCGACCCAAGTCTTGCATTGTAAATTTGACACCATCTATAACATGACGCTTTTGTCTTCCGAAGCCAAGCCCCCAGAATTTGACTAAACACCCATTAACAAGATATTCAATCGCTTCTTTGATTCCGCGGAAAGGAACTTATTAGCGTTCTAGTTTTGGGCGGAACGTTTTAATTTACATTTTCGTTAGGATGAAAACTTGATCAGTCGAAACAATAAACAGGGATCCTCTTTGTCGGTCTACATTCTGGATTTTGGTGAAGGAACAGGGGAAACGAAGAGGAAAGAAGCAAAATGAAGATGTTCTTTACGTTTTTCTCTTCGCAGATAGGCTTAATAGTAAAAGTTGCGTCAGCGGCAGTTCAAGACTTGGAAGAAAAGTTACTTCATTTTCAATTGTACTTGCTACGCGTTTTTTGATATGCATTTTAAATTCCTTCTTAAATTGAGAGAATTTTTTGACGTGATCCCAATAATTTTAGTTTTTTTTTTTCAATTGCAAATGTGTTCACAAGTGAAGCATCTTTAATACGACTCCTTTCATATATATATACATATATTGTTTCTTTTGAGCTAGAAAAAAGGAAATTTAAGGGAGAGAAATTTGAACCCTGCCTGTAATAGTTTGGCAGAGTTTTAAAGGTTTATCAGTGACCAATAGACTTCCCCAATGATTGGTTAAGAATATTTCTTTTTCTTTTTTTTTAAATTTTTTTTTAAGGAAATGGAGATTTCTTAGAAGCGGCCCTCATTTTCATTGAGGAGGATATTCTAGAACCTACCTAGACCCGGGCACAGGAAGAGAAAAAAATTTGGCTCCAAGTTGGTGCGGAACATGGGCATAGGGCTACAGGCTTTGGGTCTTGGGCCAATATCTACAGCATCTTTTCGGTTTGTCGTGTACGGACTCGACCTCACCAAAGCCTACGAGTACGTGTCATGACCCAAAAAGTCAAAATTTAGTTTTAAACCTTCAACAATGTTGGCCGGCTAACAAACAGAACAGAACGGAACAGTCCAGCCAGTAGCCTGGGGGATTACTAGGCAAGAGGCTTGGAATTTTAAACAATGATCAATAGCACGACAGCAAAAGTCAAACCGGAAAACAGGGACTAAGCAAGCCTGTCGTGCTGCGATTTGTCAACTCAATAGCCTTGACGGAATTCCTAACAAGAGTTCCAGCAAAGCTATTACTGTATAGTTGGAATTTATTGTAAAGATTTTGTATTTCTTGACAACTGCGGTGCAAGGCAAAGGATTCGCCAATTCAAGAATAATTGCCTTCATAGTCAATCCAAACGCAGGCCCAGGAATTGACCACAGAGAGAACCCATGGCATGGCGTCTGTGGACTTGCTACATTTATTTATAGGCAAATTTGACTTAGATTTTGATGGGTAGAGAGTGGGATGTATGAGGATTTTTTAAAATCTAATGGCTGCCGTCCGAACCCTTCTTTCCCCGTTCAAACTTCAATTCCATTGACTCTCGGTACATCTTTTTTTTTTCCCCAATCAACCCAAATTGTTCTGCAAAATTCATGCACAGTTCTAGCCGATTAACTTACAGTTTTTTTTCCCAATTGCAATCTGGAGGGAGGAAAATTGCAATCCCATCAGACTGCAAAACAGCCACCGACAAAATGAGGAGCAACGATGTTGTGCAGGACGGACATCTAGCAACCATCCCGGAAGACACTGGTGAATTAACACCAGGTTTTGAGCAATATACAGTTTCTTTTTTTATATCTAAAATAGCTATTGTAGCAAGTCATATGCTTGCACATTTTGTAACCAAACCAGTTGATGATATAGAATGGGTCAATGATTTTCCAATTTGACTAATAAAAAAAAAAAAAACTTACCGAGTTTTTTTTTTTATTCTAGTTTTTACTTCTGATACGCGTTTCATTTGCTTTCTCCATTCCCGTCATGCTAACTAAATAGAAAAAAAAAATAATTGAGAGCATAGCTGCCTAATTCCTTGTCCTAGTACAGAGACTTAATCCCAGGAATAGGATGGCTGGTCGAGCTGTTGTGTTCCTAGGGAACAACTTCTATGACTAATAATAAATAACAACCCAAAATTATCAAGTTCCTTCCTGGCGGGGATCTTTTGCGCGTCTGGGTGGTATGCACTCCCGTTGTTCTTTCTTTCCTCCAAAGCATGCAGGAGAAGATTGATTTTTGTGAGCAAAGTGCATGCATGGATTCGTTACATAACAATAATAGTATCAACGGAAAGTAGCTAGCATTCATCAGCATCTTAAGATCCATTCCCCGAGCTGTCTTTATACAAGAATACTCGCACTTAATGTTCATAAAAAAAAAGGGCTTCTGTGAATATATTAATATTCACTCTAGCTAGGATCCGATCCATCTCTCAAATTTGCTGACTAACTCCTAAATTATGATGCAAAGGTAAGTTAAGATCACACAAGGCTACAGCCTCGAGTTAGTTTGTTAAAATTGAGCCCTGCAAAATCTGTAGGTTAGATAATTCTAAGGCCCGGCGGAGAGTGGTGACGGAATTGTATCCGAGGTGTCTCTAATACTACATAACAATATCACGGGATGGAATCAAATCCAGACCATGTTTCCTGCAACAGCCAGCCAGGTCAGGTGCCTGTGATTATAACGCCAGTTCCTCAGACAACAAGCATTAGTAACTCCAGATGTAATGCACATACATGGCAGTCTGCCCTATTGGTGCTTGTGATCTCTTAACAAGGGCATTATACACCCGCACTGCAACTCCCTCTTTCAGGGAATCCTCCTCCAAAGCCCAAGAGACAGAATTTCCGCTGCTTGCCTGAGTATTTTTTTTTAACTTCACTGCTCCAGAGAGAGCAGCCGTGCCAGCACAAAGTCTTTATTGACTTCTGTCTTACGAAGCATTAAACTGTTGAATATCAACATAGGGTTCCGTGTGAGCGGCCACATCAAGATGGCATGACTTGCTCTCTTTGTTTGGCAAAACAGAAGCACGCACCATGTTTGACAGTTCAAGTCATGTGGCTTGTGGATTTGAATTGTCGCATGAGTAGGCAGAATTTTCATTCTCTAGCTATTTATATATTTTAATTTTTTTTAATTGGGCGATGTTCGACTCTTGAACCAGGCTTAGTTCTGATCAAGTACTAGGATAAGGAAGGAGGAAGTCTGCTATGTTTTTCACATTTACCAATATTCAAGCATAGAACAAATAAAAATTAGGAGTTGGTCCTGATCAGCAAGAAAGTTATCAGCGGAAAATGAAATTCAATTGACGGGACGGGCCTTGGAAGTCAATTGCCACTACTTTTAGCCAAATCAATTGGTGCATAAAAGTAGCACTTTAGTCATAAAACCCTATAATACAGAATAGCTTGCCAGATGCAGTGTACTGTACTATCGACCTGTGGCCCGTCGGGACGACGTTCATCGTCTGCCACAAAATCATTCTCCGGAAAAGGAGTAGACATATAGATCTGTCATGGTTTGAAACGACTACGGGGACATGATGGTAACAACAGCTCTGGTTCCATACTAGATACGTGCAGAGCTATTGAAGAAATCGGGCCAGAAAAAACCTGAAAGCACCGTGATGTAGCCAAATTCAGTGCCCCAGCTGCTCAAAGATTTGGAAATGGCCAACAGAAGTCGTGCTTGCGATCGAGCATAAATTCATTGAATCCAAAACAAAATCAGATGACTCGTGCTGATCTGCACACATTTTGCTACGTTCCGCTAGTTTTCAACCTTCGCAATATTTTGGTAGGTGCTTTTGTTACCTTACAAAGATTGAAATCTTCCAAAAGAACACAAGTAGGATACTTGTATAATTTGTTCAATGAGGGGTTGCTTGTTAAATTCACTCAAGTGAACAGGTGAATCATGAAACAGTAAAACAAGGTTCCCCAAAAAAAAAAAAAAAAAAAAAAAATTTGCAGAATGGTGCTACTAAATAATAGAGGTATAGATGCACACATCTTAAAACTGGAGTTGGTTGGAAGGTAGATGGAAAAAAAATCAACGAGATAACTTCAGATAACGTGAAACGTCAATTTGGAAGTGGTTGGGAGATTCCTAGAGTCGAGAACTAGATGAATTGAATATGACCTGGAAAACTTTTTGAATGGATTCTAGCCCTACCTCACAACTAATCAAACCGGACTGGGGCACTTTTTTTCTTCTTCCTAGCACCTGGAGGAATCTAGGCTTTCACTTCAACATAGCCCGTAAACTTTTGCCCTTATATGCTAATCTCAAGCAGATTTTGCTAAAGAGAGATTATTTTTTCCAATTATTACATGGTTCACCAAGCGACTGAAACTTCAAAAGGAATGAATGGCTAATAATATTAGAAACTAAATGGAGATTTGGAACCATGGAGAGAATACTTCCTCCGTTCCTTATTAGATGGCCTGAATAACTAATTCTCTTAGATTAAGAAAGTTGGTTATTTTTTAAAAGTCAACAAAAGTTTAACTTTACTTCTCAAAATTACCCTTTATCTCTCTTCATCTCTTCAACTACTTTTATTGTTAATGCTACAAATACTGCATTTAATTATTTAGAGTTCCAATTCAAGAAAGTTGAAAGGGTAAGCAAGGGTAAATTTGGAAAAAAGTTCATAAATGCTTTCTTGATATCATAAAATGACAGATAAAAAGAAACAATGGATTAGGACATCTAATAAGGAACGGAGGGAGTAATTCAGAAGCAAAGTAGTAAGCATATCATTTAATTCTCAAAAGCCCAAAAAAAAAAAAAAAAAGAAGAAGAAAAACAGAGTAACTAATATGATTCTGTCGTGGGAGGAATCTTTCATTAACCAGTGAGGAGGTATCAACCAGCAACATAAGCTAGGCTCAACTTACGAGAACTTCATTATCCCTAGCAGTTGTTGTTGTTATTAAGATTGTAAAAATCCAAGTTGCACCATTTTGTAAGGTAGAGAAAGGTATCAAACAAATGGTTTACTACTGGTAAAGTTTTGCAAGATTGGCTTGGAATATGCGAGTCGACAATTGCACAGCGGCTTGCTTGCAGGCTTGAACCATCCGGGTGACGTATAA